TTTACCAATGTGCATCACTGACCTGGTGGCAGTCCTAGGTGTGACACGTGATGTGTGCCGCTTCCCTAAACAACACTGGAAGATCTTGGCACCGAACTATGACCAGAAAAAAACCCTGATCATTTCAGCTGGGGGTCAGTCTTCCAGAGTGATCCCCCCCCAGTGCTCTGGACACCTGGGGACTCACTACAAATCCTCAGCAAAAGTGCAAAAGCCTTCTCCCTGGCCGAGAAATCCCAGGATGGGTGGTCATCCAGGGCTATGACTTAATCTCCAAGTGGCCCTGAACCTGGCAGGATCCAGGGATAGCTCATCACTGAGTCTGTTCCTCCTTGTGGCCAGAGATGGCGGCTGGACGTCCTGTCAGGCAGCCACCAGCCGTCGCCTGGAGCGGGTCTCTGAGTGGGGCTCCGGAGTCACTACCCATCTCTGAGCGATGGAGCCCCATGATGCATGCAGTGGTGACATCTTCAGTTGGACCACATCTCTCTTCATCCCTGGGCCACACTTGCCAAACTCCAAGTCTGTGCAGAAGGAAAGACGCGGGCCTGAGTGCAGCGGCCGACATCGGTACGGAGCACATACAGAGTGCTCTGGGGAGAACTGGTGATCGTAGTCAGGCTCAGGGATGACGGCGATGGCAGCGCATTTATTAAGTGTCTCCTACACTCTGGAAACTGAGTTATTCCTGAGAGTTCTACTTTGTTTTGTCGGTGTAGGCGTCTGTCTTCATGCCAGTACCACACTTTTTTGATTCCTGTAGCTTTGGGGTATGTTTGAAATCAGAATGTGTGCATTCTTCAACTTTTTTCTTCTCTTCCAAGGTGGTTTTGGCTGTTGGGTCCCTGGTCCAGACGGGTATGCATGCTCTTAGGAAAGAGCCATTTGTGTCTTAAGAGAATGTGTTCTTTTTCATTTGTGTAAAACAAGGCTGTTGACATTTTGATAGGGTACATTGTGGGTGCTGTGTTATGTACTTTAAATCTAGAATCTCGCTTTTATGACACCCCGTGAATCAGGTACTATGGTTATTTCCAAACACACTGGGGAGTGGAGGCACCAGCTTCCTACAAAGATGTTGGCACTGAGCTGTGCACCTCAGGTCACAGGCTTGGGATTTCTTTCCCAGTAGTAATGATGAATTACTAGTAGCAACATTTTTTTTTTACCTTGTTTCTCTGATCATCCACTTTCGTCATGGGGTGTCTTAGGTGAAGTTGGGGATTTGGCCCTAGGACCCAGGACAGAGCCTGGCCACGGATCATTCCAGCAGTGAGGTCACAGTTGGCTAGAAAACAACAGCACCCCCCGAGACTCCCCAGCAGACCAGCATTGTCCGTGCTTGATGGCCGCTGTTCCGCACAGAGTGTGCCCCGCTCAGGGCATCAGTGGGCTCGGGCCTCCCACGTCACCAGCAGCCCTGGTCCGCGTGGAAGGGGTTCAAGCTCGGGGGCCTGACGCTCACAGCCCAGGTGTAACTGTCATGTGACGCAGTCACAGAACACGGTGGGAGCAGCTTGTGTGAGTAGGGTTCTTGAAAAGACTTTATTCAGAAAGATTTTGGACATATTCATAGAGAAATTTGCATGACGAGCTCCATGTATGTGAGTATTCTCATACAGATGACATCCAGTTAAAAAGAATATCAAGGGTGGCTTTGAGGAGGCAGAATTTGCGAAGGGACAGACAGGAGGGCATGGGAAAGGGAGGGTCAGGCTCGGACAAAGCGCTTTATAGGATGACGCAGGGACAGCTCAGCGTGTCCTGGGGACGTTCCTGATACTGCCCACAGGCTGCTGGAGTAAATCAATCTGCTTTCATTTTCATTAAAACTTTCCTGCCCTGGCCGGGTGGCACAGTAGGTGGCAGATTCAGTTCCGGGTCAGGGCACACACCCAGGTTTTGGGTTCAGTCCCCGGTCAGGTCATGTCAGGGAGGCAAGTGATGGATGTTTCTCTCTCACACTGATGTTTCTCTCTCTCTCAAGTTAATAAAAACATATCCTCTGGAGAGGATTAAAAAAAAAAAAAACCTTTCCTATGTGCTGAGCAGTGTTTTACGAACATATGAGGCAGCTATTACTAGTCCCATTTTTCCAATCAGAAGATTGTAGCTTTAAATTGAAGTTAACTTACTCTAAGTCTCATCGCTAATAAATATTAGAGTGAAGATTTGAACCCAGGACCTTTTGACTCAAAAGCCTCTACTGCTAACAAAATGCCTTTGTTTATTGAGTCTGGACCAGTGTGAGAGAGAAACATGGATTGCTTTCTCGTACACGCTCTGACCCTGGTCTGTTGAACCCACAAGCCCTTGGTCTGTGGGACGGTGCTCCAACCAACCGAGCCACAGCAGCCAGGGCTGAAACACATGTTTCAAGGTTATCTGCTTTCTGTGACATACTGTTGAGCCACAGTCCCCATCAGAGCTTCTCTGAACTTTGATTCTCCACCTCTAATCTGTGAAATGTTTTAGAGCACATTTTCTCAGCGTGTCCTCATTCTCAATAGTAGCAAACAAACTGGTGTAGAGCTATGCAGTGGACAGAACTATTAAGTGGAGATAGTTAAACTGAGGTCTGGATGGCCAGGAGGCATTCGTGTAAAGGGCGGGGCAAGAATAAACAGAGACCAACACGTGTGAAAACATAGAAGGGGCACCGTGTGGCCTGTTCCAGGAAGGGGAGGAGGCCAGGTTGCCCCAGGAGTTGCAGGTGCACAGGGTGGGGACGTGGGACAGGTGTGCAGGTGTGGCTGGGGCCGGTCCACGAGGGCCCTGCTTCTGCGTCCACTGGGAACCCGTTGGTGTTAGCTGGGAAGCGTTCGCTGTGTGTAACAGAAAAGCCCATTTACAGAGTTTACACAGCCAAGGCCCGAGTGGCTGGAGAGTCTAGAGGGGGCCATGTGGAGGCAAGGGCTCCGGCCTCCTTTTTCAGACGTTCTCTCGCCTTTGTGCTGCTCTGGGAGCCCTTGGGCTCCTTTCCTCCTGCAACAGGGGTGCAGGATGGCTCGGGCAGCCATCATGGTACCTGCTCCTTTTGTTTTGCAGCAGACAGAGTAAAGCCTGATTATTTGAGGAGCTGTCACCAAGCCCAGAGTCACAGGTGTGCTAATGCTCAAAGACCGGGCTCCCCATGTCCTCAGGGTGTGGGTTACACAGGGAAACAAACATATCTTGGGGCTGGAGGCATCGGCGTCATGGCTTTTTTTTACAAGAAAAGGGAGAGCCTACCGCATCTTGGCTACTTCACTCCTCCCCTTCGGGCCACTTACTGACCTGACCCCATCCCGGTGGGTGTGGACTTGCTCTGCACATCGGTCCGCACAGCCCCATCTCCTCACTGGAGTTCTTACTCTGCCAGGATCCTTCTCCATGCCCAGGTGGCATGGCTGCCCCTCAGAGCCTTTCTTGACTGACATAGTAAAGTCCGGGCAGGTATGGCCCCATGGCGTGGAGCCAATCCTCTTCAAGCTCTCACACAGGTGCTGAAGCCAGGGGGAGTTGCCTCTCAGTTACATCCTGGGTGGAAGTCACTCCCATCCCCCATGGCCACAGCTATTTAAGAAATTCATGAAACTCGTTAAAAGTTATAGATACGTTAAATGAACATGCCTGAGGTTATCTGCAAAACTGTTGCTCCGCAGAACAACTCTCAATGGCACTGCTACCTGTGTCCCATCCCCCAGTTCACACTTGCGAGGGTGAGGACATCTCATATTTTTAATATTTCCTGGACACCCTGAGTTCTGGACCCCATTACAAATCCTTCTTTGGCAGGGGAGTGGGGGGAGGTGTCCCTGGCTGCACCCTCTTACAATGTGAGTGCTTTCAGTATGAATTAGTATTCTGGTGATGTCACTCAATCTTGCAAATTGTTATCAGTAGGGATTAGACGTGCTTGAGTTTTTCAAAGTATCAGTTAAAAGGCCTAAGAGTTCATCCCAGCTCCAGGTTTAATCCTGCGGCTTTTCATTATCTGCAGCTCCAGGAAAGAGTCAGATTAAACCTCACAGGTGTGGACCGCTCTTTCTGCAGACTAAGCAGTTCCATGCCCTTGGCGGGAGAGGACTGGTATTACTTCTGCAGATAAATTACCAAAATTTGTAAATGAACACCAATATCGTACCATTTACTATAGGCCTTACTCAGGTTTTGCAACCACCCTTTGAATACCTTCCACACCAAAAGAAAAACACTTTTCCCCCAGTCTGGGGTCTAACCCAGGATTACACGCTGTGGCGCCTCTGTAGTTTGGAACGGCATTTCAGTCTTTGCCTGGTCATGACCTTGATCTTAGAAGAATGAACAATTATTTTGTAGACTGTTCCCGACTTGGCTTAGACTGCCATTCCCTCATTATGTGCACATTATACATTTCTGGGAGAAATCCTCAAAAGTGATGTATTACCTTCCTCACTGTATCTTATCAGGAGGCATAGAGTATTTGTCTTATAACTGATAATGTTGTAAAAAGACATTCTTGAGAGTATGGCAAACTGAGAACATGATATTGAGAAACTGGGAATTCTGTTAGATGTCATAATGTAAAATGGGGTTATCTGTTAGCGAGGCGTACGTGTGTATACACGTACTGGGGGAAGTGAAGTTAGTTGGTGAACATCCATTTCTGCAGGGAGCCTGCAACTCCAGGCAGAAGGCCCTGACTGCGCTGCCACAGCGCCCCCTCTGTGCACTGCCCGGAACTCCGGCCAGGCTCCTCTCCACGCGGCCCCTCGCTGCATCACTGTGTCCCCAGCTTCCCTGGTGTCTTGAACAAAGCTCACATCTGTCAAATTCTGACTTACTGGGTGAAGAAAGCCTGTGGGGAAGAGACTGACGTGCTGGTGGAAGTCCGCTTTGGAAACAGCTGGGAAGTTTCCCCCCTTTGTGATCTGCATGTCCTGTCACAGACCACTGAGCCCCATGAAATGCTCAGTTACGAGGATTACGTAATAAAACTTTCAAGCCAAAACACAAGAGGTCCTCATTTCTTTTCTGAAAAAACAAACCAAACTTTATTTTTTAAAGTGTATTTCGCCAAGGACTGCTCCTGTGCTGGTGGTCACACCTGTACCGCCCCTTCCCGAGTATCTTCTGTGAGAAGACCCGGGGGCCCGCCCGGCGGCTCCCTCTGGCCCTTCACGCCCCCAGGGAGCAGCAGCTGGTTCAGGACACTGCTCTGTCTCAGGGCCTGCAGTCTGCACGTGTCCTCACTGATGACGGGGATGCTTCCCTTCTGCTCTGGGGCCTGCAGGTCGCTGTCACTGTCGGACAGTGTGCACAGCAGACTGTCATTTTCATAGGTGGGAAAGTAGTACCTGAAAACAACCACAGAGAGGCTGCATGACCACAGTGTCTATCGCCCGGCAGCGCTCCAGCAGCTGAAGGTGACCGCTGTGCTTTCACAGGTCTCCCTGCCGACCACCCAGCGGCAGTTTGCAGAGGCTGTAAAGGGACTGCTGCTGGTTACTTCCGGCGCGACCTTTACTGGCTGACACTGGTCTTGCTGATGTCCCCGCTAGTTATCTACCGTAATAAGAGACTCACTGTCCGAAAAGGAGCCGGCTCCAGTCCTGGGCAGCTCTGGCGAGAGAATACCTCCCCACCAGAAGCTGAGAATCACGTCCCTCTCACTATTCTCACCAGCCCCCCTGCTAATAGGTCCCCCTCCCCCGGCTAAGGAAGCTCAACTGCACTTCCTCACACCCACTCCTTTTGTGTCTGGTGAAAACCACTGCTCTCCGTGTTTTCTCTCTCAACCTAACCATTGCTGGTTCTTCATTCTAGCAGACCAAAAACAAAGACAGCTCTCCAGAGACTTCCGGTGTGCTATTCTGGTACCTTGTCCAGACACACTTTGTGGTTTGTGCTGAGGGCCTCCAAATATTTCAGCCCGTGAAGGAAGAATTACAGGAACAAGGCAGGAGATCAAGCCAGGGCTGACTCTGTCTCTCTCAAACCTGGGGTTTGTGGAAAAACTAAAGCCTTTTGTTTTACAGAGGAAAAACAGAAGCTTTCAGCTAGAGTTTTGGGGGGACTGGATGTAACATTCCTTAACAGAGGGACCTCCAAGCAGCCCCAGGGGTTGCCTAACTGAGGTTGTCCAGAGTGACGTGAGAACCAGCCCCAAAGGCTGGGCTGGCAAGGGCACCTGTGGACCAGCTGCTTAACGCTGGATGTGCCAACACGCGAAATGCATGCCAAAAGCCCTACCAGTCACATGCTCTCTGACAGTATCTTGGAGTTTACCTACATCAGTAAGTAGATAGACGTGCAAAAATATGCAGGCACGTGGTGATTCAGTGTCCCTGCTTATTGGAGCAAAAAGCACCTAACAAGCTGGGATGTACTCATGACTGGGATATCTGACACCTACTAAAACTGATCCAATGGGTGTGTATCAGATATGGAAAGATGCTTTCAATGTTTTAATAACATATAATCTAGAAATCTCTCTATCTCCCTTTATGTACATATCTCTAAATCACAAAACCTGGAACAGCTGGTTACATTTACAAGGCACGGAATGACTTCAAAAATAGGTTTAGAAGGTTCCCACTGTTTCCCATCAGCATGCGTCAATGCGGGGCGCCGGGGCGCAGCCGTGCATGTGCGCGTGCGGGCAGCACTCACTCCGGCTGGTCCCACGTCGCCACGTCCGGAAGCAGGGCGGCGTGCCTCGCCGCCTCCATGTGGGCCCGCAGGTCGGCTCTGGAGGGGAACCTCGTGTGGCAGCCGTAACAGCGACCCTGGTGGACCTGCCTTCGAATGAAGTTGACCAGCTTCACTTGCTGATAGAAATTTAACCCTGAAAAACAGAAGTGCACAGAATCAGCCCCAAACTGGTCAGGCCCGTTTTTTGCACTGTTACAATTTTTATCAAGAGCCACTTCCCTTTGCCCACCAGCCCAAAGACGCAGCCAGTCACAGAGTGTGATGACAGACACAAGCAGTACCAGCCGGCAGTGGCTGGGGCTCCCGTGCCAGCATGGCTCTAACTGCTTCCCACCCACGACTAGTTTTCGTCCCCACATCCCCACATCCCGTTCCACAGGTAGTAGCATCACCGCCCCCCCCCCCCCATGCATCAGGACACTGTCCAGGGTCACGTGGGAGGCAAGTGAGCGGGAGGTGGGAGGTGGCATGGGCCTGATGGCTCCACAGCATGTGCTCTGGACGGCTGAGCTCGTCACATGGCGACACAGAAACGCGTCCGTAAGAGCAGGGAAGTGCAGGGCACACGCTGCAGTCTGCACTGAGGCGGGACAGCGGGCTTTGGGTGGTCTTGGGTTCATCAGTGAGTCCGTGCTTTGTGCTGTAACGCCCCGAGTCTCCCCACCGTCGGGACAGTGAGAACGCCTCTGTAGGAGCTAACGCAGGACTTCTGTCTGCGTCACCCACGCCTGGGAACGCTCAGTTCGCCCGAGGCCCGGGTGGCCAGTCTGCCTTTCTGGTGGGGACTGTAGCCATTGACTTGCATGTTGTTTGAAGCGTGTGTGTGTGTGTGTGTGTGTGTGTGTTGGGGAGGGAAGAAGGACTGCATGAAACCAAAGCCTGCACTTGAAATTGAACTTGTGGTGGCTGCGAGCCCCAGGCACGAACACAGGTGTGCTTTTGGGATGGTGCACAGAAGCACAGCGCCCATGCTGACTTACCAAGTTCTGACTTGATCTTGAGGAGATCGAACTCGTGCGTGTCCTAAAAGGAGGAATGGAGGTACCTGTGAGCACACACATGTTGGATCTTTCACTGGAGTGTGAGCACAACACAGCTCAGCCCCAGTTCACCGTCTCCTGCTTCAGAAGCCGCAGCAGCCTGACCGCCCCCCCCCCCCACCATCCGCCTGCTGAGCGTCCAAGTCCTGCCGGCCCATGCGCATGCCCACAGTGGGCCGACTGCAGTGTCTTGTCTGCTGGGGACGTGTGGGCCTGCGGGCCTGTGTCTGGGCCCAAGGGTCCGAGCTGCACGGCACAGGCCACTTCACAAACTCTGCTTCCACCGGAGACCGCCTACTGCACTGTGCCAGCCGGCAGGTTTCTCTTCTCGTGCCTTCCCACATGCCAACTGAAACGTGTTTCACGCTGCAGAGGCTTGATCCCTCCCTCCCTCCCTCCCTCCCTCCCTCCCTCCCTCCCCGTGACAGTCCCCTGGACACCTTGCAGGCTCCCAGAGAACAGAGTGCAGTCTGTGTGGCCCCTCAGGCAGGATCGCCAGGACGCACGGCAGCCATCAGGGCATGTGACTGAGCAGAGGCTGAGGGCGCCATCGAGGGCGCAACAGAGGGAACCCCTACACTGGGCGGGTACCGGGTCTCCCTCCAGTTCTCAGACACGAGGATGCTGGGAGCTAGATGTCCACCCTGGACACCACACATGCGCTCAGGGCAGCCTGGCTCCGGGAACCCGAGCCTCTGCTTCCACAGGGCCACCGCCCACACCCACTGCAGGAGAGTGCAGTCTCTGATGCGCAGAGACGGGGCTCATGCAGCAGAGGGCCCCATGGGGCACAGGGGGGTGGGCACATGTCGGTCATCAGCCCTCCAGCCCTGAGCCGTAAGTGTCCGGAGCCACCAGTTCCGCCCCTTCCCCAGCAGCTGTAGGGAGTGACAGTGCCCTCTCTCACAGACACCAGCATGACAGCAGGTTCCCAACTGCTCACTTCCAGCTCCATCGCAGCAGCCAGTGCATCCAGAGAGGGGCACACACTGGGAACCCTCTCAGATGTCTTCTCTCCAAGTCCATGTCACTGAAGGAGGGAGACCTCACCCTGTGCCCACTCCTTCTGCACGCCCCCGTCCCCCAGGCTGTGAGGAGGGCAGCCTGCCTTGGGCTCTCCTGAGTCAGTGGCACAGAAGCGCTGCCCCTGGCTTCAGGGTCCCCTTCCCCGCAGGGGAAGGACCTCGGGAGCATCTCAAAGGTGGGTGGCAGCAGAGTGGTCTGTGAGACCCCACCCAGCGGCTCCCCCAGGCCCAGCCCACGGCCTGAGCCTGTGGGACTCTCAGGAATGGGGTGCGCCGGAGGGACCGGAAGTGTAATGGGACGAGGGGCTGCCACAATGATTGGCTTTCCTGTCAGAACTGAACAAACTTCAGATGAACAGAAGCATCTCACCTTCATGTGGACACATAATTTCTCGATGGTTTCTGCTTGCTTTTCACAAAACAGACAGACAGCCGAGACGGGGTGTTCCTCCCAGTCAGACCAGTCCCTGTGTCAGGCAGAAAGCGGCACACGTGGGGGTTCCTTTGTCGAAGAGGGTGTTGTGCCCCGCCTCACGTGACTCATAGCCTCTCATCCGAGGAAGCCCTGCCGACCCCCGCCTGTGCCAATGCTTTGGCCAAGGCGGCAGCGTCACAGTGGTGCCATGGCGTCAACAGCAAGAGTGATTGGGTGCAGCCATCCCCTTGCCTCTGCTCCTTCCGAGCAGCCCCTGTGCTGTGGGGTGGCACAGTGTCTCTGAGCTGAGCAGGTTGGTCGTGCAGAGGGGAGAGGCTGGGGGTGGGGCAGGAGGCTGTCAGGAATGGCACGACACCCCACAACACTTGGCGTGTCCCACAAAGGCACGCCAAGCCCCTCACATGGGAGGGCAGGTCATTGTGAACGAAGTGGGTGTTAAACCAGGTGGCAGACTGGCGGGTAGAGAACTCAAACAGCATTACCAACCATCCCTTCCTCTCCTTGCATTTATTTTTTGATATAGGGACAAGTGCTTGTGGTTCCCGAGTAGGAGAGTCCAAGTCTCGGGAGAGAATGAGAGGATGGGCAACAGGGAGCCCTTCCGGCGGGGAGAGCCCTCCTCCGGCGTGTGGTCCCCAGCCAAGGAGCCAAGATGCTTTAAGCTGGTCGTGGCTGGGGTGAACACAGGACAAGGTTAGCTTCAGCTCAGTCACCTTCCCTGCCCCCGTGACAGGCAGCACGCAGAGGCCAAAGGTAATGTCACTGCAAGGTCTGGGGACTAACTGGGTTAGCAAGACACCCCGGAAGGTACTTTTCTCTGAGTGACGTGTTCTGTGTGTCCAGCTAATGGCTCCCACGGCCGACCACACACTGGTTAGCAGGAGCAGCAGTCCCGGCCGTGTTACACGCAGGGAGGTGTGACCCACAGAGCAGCTCTGCTTCCCTCTCTCTGGTTCCTCGGAATGACGTTTGACCCCGAACTAAAGGACTGGTTCCCTGCCCTCAAGCACTAATCAATGAGCAGCATCAGCAAGTCTTACTCTTCCTGATGGTCCAGCAGCTCCCGATCGTCTTCCGACTGAACTTCTTCCCAGGATTTTCCAAGTTCCTTTGTGGGACAAACAGAGAGGTTAGGAGTTCGGGGTGGGGAGAGAGAGAACAGACACAACAAACCACCAGGCCCGCGCTCTGCAGATATGAACAACACTAGAAGATGCGTCAAAACTGCTGCTGGGGCGGGAGGAAGGGCGCGTGCAGCCCGAGATGCCTCCACTGTGCTCTTCTGCTTGGAGGAGCGGCAGGGTCCTCTCAAGGTCCAGCCTCTTAAATCTAAGTAAGTCAGTGCTTCTGAACCCTGGATGCCCATGAGAATCTGCTAGGGATCTTTTTAAAAAACCAACCAATCAATATTTCTCAATGGAGATTTTGAGACATTCTCCCCACTGGACTCTTGGGGGTCCCGGCAGTCTGTTTCCCAGGCAGCGGCCACAGTGACTCTTCTCTAGGACATGTCCCTCCCCTGTTAGTGTGAACCCGCCCGTGGCATCTCACACGGGTGAGGTCCTGGGACCTCCGCATGGCCTCCATGCCTCCTCCCTACACCGCACGACCTCTGCTCGGGGCGTGTCAGCCCCACTGGTCCTGCTGCAGTCCAGCAAGCTCACGCCCACCTGCTCCCCCACCCTGGTGGCATCGCCCGCCCATAACACGCTTGCTTACATGACTGAGAGGCTCAGCCCGTTGCATCACCTGCCAGGAACACGCTCCCTCACGTGCTTGCCTGGCTCGGCAGGAGCGTCACCTGCCCTGCTGGCGCGTCACGATGATGTGCCGGAACCACAGCCCCCTTCACGTCTCCACTCCTCTGTGACGTCTGACTTTTCTTCCAAGTGCTGACCACTGCTGGCATCACTTTTCTCTTGTGCCACCTGTCCCCTCCCCTACAGTGTCCCTGAGGACAGGGCCTCTGCTCACTGGAGGGTTCTAGAGCCCAGCCCACAGTGGGCTCTGGAGGGTATTTTTAAAAACTGAATTGTAACAAAGAAAGTCTACACATTTGAGGCTGATTTAGACCCCGCATCAAAAGGATTTCCTGAGCTGACTGGGTGGGTCTGCTCCTCTCCCTTGGCCTCCTCACTGCGCCGGTGGGAGCGCATGGAACACCAGAGGCGATGGGCGTGGGGACACGGACAGACACCCTTCTGAGCAGCTGGACTACGTCCACAGCCCACACACTCTGCCATAAAGGCACATGTCCCATTCCCTACCATTCTTCTGAAAACACACAACCAAGTTCACTTGCAGTTGGGAACATTTTTTCTCAAAGGTATTATTTAATTAAAAGAGCTACAAGTGCCATTTTGATTTTGAAGGAAAAAAATCTATCATCAACTTCCTAAGGAGTCTGGGAGCTGTCATTATCTACCAGCTAAGTGTCGCATCACCCAGACGTGTGGAAATTTCTCCTGACATTGTCAGAGACAGTTAACTCAGACTTGGTTATGTCCTCCCCAGAGTCATGAAGCGTCCGCACCTCACCGTGCACCCCAAGAATGGCCCCCACATGGCCAACACATCCCTCATCAGTTGAACCTCTTGGCTATGGATTAAATCCTTCATGCATTACTTGGTCTCGCTGGACAAGGCCATGGGCAATAGCGGTTGTCAATAAATGTTTGTAGCCGAGAGCAACAAGTAACACTGTCCACGTTCCAAACTCAGAGCTTTGTTCTGCACCTTTCTCGGTGTTCAGTTGCAGTGCCACATGGAAGCGTGTGCCCATGCACCACACGAGAGGGAGATGGGGCTCTGTGTTCTCGGTGCACCAGGAAACACATGGCCTGTGAGTGACAGCGGCCCCGACTTTCCCAGAGCACCCCGCTTTGGTGCAGTTAAGTCTACGACTCGCCACGGAAACCGGTCCCAGAGGGAAGAGAAGCAAAGCACGGGACTCTAATTAAGATGCTGCGCCTGCTAATGAGTCATGTCAGGAAAGCAGCGACCACGAGAACACAGAGTCTGGAAGGCCCGTCAGTGGGGATGTGTGGAGCGCCCCCTCAAGCCCCTGCGTCAGATGGCTGCAATCGACGGGTGGGTGGAAAAACACGGGAAAACAAGATCCTCTCTGCCAGCCCCCTCGCCCCCAGACACATGCACTTATGCAAAAAACCCGTCAGAGAGAGTGTTTGGGATGGAAATCATTTCATTAGCGAGAACTATCACTAAGCTAAGAACGAAAGGTTAAGAGCCCACTTGTTAAAATGGCTCTGTATACTTAATAAAAAATCAAAGAATGATAAAACCACTATAAAAGAGCTCCCTTCAGAAAGCTCAGGGCTTGTGACCCCACACCCGGGGACACACGCTGAAGCCGCGATGAGGAGGCCGGGCGGTGGGTTGCTCTCCGAAGCAGGGGTGTCAGAGCGTGTGATCGTGAAGCTGCTGGTGACCGCCCCCACTGCTACCACCGCTGCCGCCCGCACCTCCCCTCTGTGAGACAACAGCCAGCACTCGAAGGACATGACCTCGAAGGGGTGTCCAACCAGCGGCCCACAGGCTGCCTGGGGCCCAGGATGGCTATGAATGTGGCCCAACACAAAATAGTAAATTTACCTAAAACATGAGATTTTTGGGCGATTACATGTCACAATGTCCTAAGACAGCTCTTCTTCTTCCAGTGGGGCCAGAGACGGCAAATGGTTGGACACCCCTGAGACTGTGCAAAGGGCCTTGAGTGGAGTTGCAAGCCCGTTAGTGTTCAAAAGCTGGTGTGTGTGGTTAAACACGGAGATGGCCCTGCCTGAGAAGGAGAGGGGACCGGCCGGCTTGCTGATTGCAGAGGAGAGCCCAGAGCAGCCTTGGCCCTTTGGCCCCATGTCTGTCTGTCTGTCTGTGTGGTGACCATGAGAGTGCCTCTTGCAGGAGCATCTGGACTTCCCCCCACCACCCACCCAACCTCGGGTCTGCAGACCCCATCTGAAGCAGAGGCGAGGGAGCATGGGCCTGCTGCGGCGGCAGAGGCCTGAGCACCGGCGCCGCACCCCCTCACCAGGTGTGCACAGGAGGGTGCTCATGTGCCTGCCTCCCACCCAGCCTACACACTCCGAGAGCGGTGACTCAGATCTGCCACCTGGCCGGCAGCATCTGGTACCTGGACGGCCCTCGAATGCCTGCAGAGTGCTGCTGCAGAGAGACCGGGAGGTGCGGAGGCGCAGTCGCCCACGCTGGGTCAGGCCACGGAGCCCTGCCTGCTGCCCGCAGTTGCGCGTGCACGCCAGCTTTTTCTCGTTTTAAAAACTCATTGCTTAAGTAAACTTTTAGAAGCAGTTATTCTTCCAACTGAAGATTGTCATTAATGGGGTATGAGATGAGACTGAAATGCTGCTGAGCAACGCTGGGCCCCCACTTTCCTCCGACTCCATGCCATCAATATTCGGAACAGTCTTTCGCAGGCTCGCTCCAGGTGTTGTCATGCCTGTTCCCGACGGCAGTGTCCTAGGCTGTTCTCAGGGCTGGTGCCTCTGGTACGCACTCCTCTCACTTAGGGCACTTACACTCTAGAGAGACTTTATTAGTGTCCTCAATCTCTTTCAAAGGGAAGTTCGCATCACTTCCAAAGTGCTCACCCATCATTAATACACTGTAGGCTTTTAGAAAAATCACTCTTGCTGCTGGCTAGTTACCTTGGTGGAAAGCACACAGGGCTGAGGAGGGAAGACCCTGGGTCTGAGCTCTTGCAGGGCTGGCGAGAGGCAGCCTCGTGTGGGCCTTGGCTCCTGTACCAGTTTGTGACAAGAGAGCAGGCGAGGGGAGGCAAACAGGTCCTTAGGGACTCATCCCCATCAACAGACTAGACACCCGGCACACCCCAGGGCCCAGGAACGACTGATGGAGGGGCCTGAAAGGACCACAGAGGGGCTCGAGGGCACCTTTGCCCTCGGTGAACTGTAGAAAATCCTCGGCCTGCCGCGGCTTCCTCTGCATCCGTCTTCAAACACATGCGCAACTTGCTTCAGGGGCGGTTTTATTCCAACCCTGCATGGACTAGTTAGCACAGACAGACACTGTACCCTCGAGCAGAGATTTCCATGTAATTCAGGATGTGCTCGTTTCTGCCCAATAGATAAAATGGCTGATTATAATCAATCACGCCTTCTGTGCCAATGGGTTTGAGTACCAATTCATTTACAGTAAGAAGAAACGTTTCCATTTGCAAGCAAAGTGTCAGAAAGAGAGCTCCGCGTCTGTCTCCCAACCCCACTGCACAGTGACTCATCCTTCTCTTTATACAAGTAGCAGCTTTCCTAATTTGTTATGCAAACCCCCTGAAAACCTACAGATGGGGCACACAGTCGTCACGATGTCCATCGCAGATCCCCTTGTAGGTTCCAACCGCCCCTCACAACACATGCCGCCAACTGGACGCCTCTCTCCCTGGCAGGGACTGCCACCCAGAAGGCTGAGGCTTCTGAGCAAGGAGAGCGTTCAGTACATCAAAAGTCCTTAACCTCTGACCTTGTCCTTCCACCCACAGGTCAAACACATGCAGGTCCTCTTGCCTCGGGCAATGACCTATGTGGCTTTGTTTCTCTAAAATGTCCATTAAAAATAAAATGGCACAAGAGGACGGTATAGATGATTTTGGGGGGGTGGGTAAGGAGATGATATTTTACTTGGAAAAGAGGGGAGGAATGAAGAGGCTGGTTTGCTTTTTTAAAAAGAATTACCCAGTGTAGCAGCTCGCATAGCTAGAGGCAGGCGCATGGCTTTCAACTGGAATATAGGCGTCTCTGGCCTCGAGGTGACAGTGCATAGGGACTTTTTCAGTCAGGGTGACTGTGCGTTCTACAGACAGTTTTACTCTGCGAACAACAGGCAAAGCAGGGCAAAACCAGAGCAGTTGTGTTTGCAGAGGAACATTTCAAGGGCAGCTGCTGTGTGGCGCGCCCCCAGTGCCCTCCGGCCTGTGCGCCCTGCAGGTGCCCCAGCGCAGGCCCCCCAGACAGGGTGTGGTCTGCGGGAGGCGCCGTTCTGCGTCTAGAGAAGAAAGGCTCACCAAGTAGTTGATGACGTAGAAGCGGTCGTACTCCCGGTTCTTCGGGTTGACCCTCCGATGCCGCCTCTTCCTCATGTGGTCTCGCAGGGCGTTCCTGTCCCGGAAGACCTTCTCGCAGTACAGGCACTGCAGGCTGCGGCAGGGACACAGCGCTCAGTCGGCTCTGTCCTTACTGAGCCACGGTCACCCGGCTCGGTCACGCAGAGCCTTCCAGCGGTTGGGGCAGCCTCGTCAGAGCCCCGCCCACTGTGCTTCCCTGGCTTTCTGGGACGCACGTGTGTTTTCAAGTTGGCTGGGTCGGCTGTTTAGTTCAAACTGTGGCAAAGACAGCCCACGTTAATTTGATGGTTTACTAATCAAACTGCCTCTGCTAAAACGCAAATGCAGGCGTGTTCTGACAGAATTGTGATGACAGCGAGCACCAGCTGCACCTGCCACGTGTGAGGAGGGGTCCACGGCTTGGGAGCTGATTTGCAGGGCACGAGGCCCAGCTCCGGCACCTGCGGGCCGGGCGACTCAGTGGTGTTACTCGTCTTGTTGTCTGACCTCTAAACTGAAGATGATACCAAATCTTAGAGAATTTTTAAAACTTATACACACTTATGTCTACATAATTTATGCATATCTGAAGAGAAACATGTGCATATTGCATCATGTATATATATTAAAAATAAAATACCCAGCACACAGTAAGTGCTCAATAAATGGTAGTTATCACCCTATCATTCTCAAGTACCTTCTACTTGAACACTTCCACTGAGGAGGAATTCATTACCTGACCACTCAGTGATGGCCAGTTTCCGACCAATTACAAAGGAAATGTCCTTCTCAGGTGAAGTGTGACAGTTGACATCCTGTGACTTTTACTCAATGGTCACTGGACCTCTACTCTGTAAAGTCACACAGAATTAATCTGCCTTCTACACAAAATCTTGCAAATGATTGAAATCAGGTGTTTCCACTTCGAATTCTTTTCATCTCTACTAAATACCTTTCAAAACTTTCTTATGCCATTGAAACCAACTGGGGTCTTTTATAAGTAAGCAATTTATGAGCGAGCGGTAAGCTGATGATGATTGATATTCTGGCATTATTTTACAAACAAAGGCTTCTCCAATAAAAGAATGAAGGGATTTGTTTTAATGTAGTGTTGATACCAGAATACGAAGTCAGAAGTTTTTATAATTAATCTACATCCCTCGATACATCTTTTTAATGTCACTGCTCTACATGCTGTGGGCCGAGACACCACATTCTTTAGGATTATATTTAAATAAAGAAAAATAGGTTTTGAGAAAAAAGCAATCTTGGACACTTTCCCAGAAAGTAAAGTTGGCTAGATTTCTAAAAGGCATTTGGACAACCTTGACAATTTCCTTCCTCATTTCTACACGCTGGGCTCCAGGACCCAAGGTCACAGGATGTCACCTGGGGACAGGTGGAGTGTCACGGTTCACAAATGCAGAGGAACAGGAAAGGGCAGAAGAACACATGCGGCATCTCCTCCCTCACATCCAGTTGAGTGACAGACCTCAACTTGACAGTACATCTACCTCACTAAATATGTAAAGTAGTTATAGTGAAAAGTAAAGAAATTATGAACCCAAAACTGAGGACAGAGGTTTCTGGGGAATACTCATGAGAAAGAGCACCCGGGGGGACCAAGCGATGACTAGTGTTCTGCTTCTAGGCTGGACGGTGAGTGTCTTCATCACACCGCATTCAATACACTGATGGGGTGTGTGTGTTGTTCGATGCATGGGATGCTTTTATTTAAAGAACAGACCAAACGATATGATCTGCACCAAGTGAGGACTGTCATACAGGACGCGAAGTCCTCCAACATGAACTTTCCATGAATGGAAAAAAGTCCATTTCTGCAGTTACTTCTGACTATGAACTTGTAACTGTCCACAAGAGTCAAAGATCCAGGTCGTGGTGCGTCAAGGACTTACTTGTCAAGCTTCTCCTGTAACGTACGTAGAAACTCGCTGCAGTTGACAATGTTGTCGGGCAGTCCGATGTTGAAAGCGTGTTCTCTGGACATGTGGTTCAGCAGGACAGATCTAGGGAGGAAGCGGAGTGATGGGCGTCAGGTGCGAACCGCCCGGGAACAAAGGGTCGGCCACGGCCCCCGGGGAGTGGAGACCGACAGTGCTGAGGAGAGTGACATGGGGGTCTCCACACCGAGACAGGCGCGGGGCCATGTGGGCGGGTTCCGGCCTGTCGGCCACTGGGCAGGACCACACTCCACAGGGGAGTCGGGTGTCTGGCCTCGGACCTGTCACTGTGCCGTGCCACTTTTCTGATTTGTCACAGACACAGGGAAGAGAAGGCTGCCCAAGACAGCTCGGACCTGCTTCAACCTGGGATTGCAGCGATTCGGCGCTGGTTTGTTTTGTTTTAAACAAAAGTAAAACAGCCAAAGTGCTAAAAGTTTAGTTAACAAGTTCATACAGGACAGTGTGTCTGTAGTGGTTTGTTCACACAGTCTTGCCTGCCGGCCGATTTAAAAAGTTTTACAATGTTAAACATAAATCTACTTTTGGCATTTAAGAAATTCATTTCCCTGGTCTGCTTAGAGCAACTGCAGTCCATCTTTGGTGGCAGGCATACTGAAAAATTACTGCTGACACCACGAAAGGGACCCGAGCGAACCCCCAAACGTGGCTCACACAAGCATGGCGGGTGCGCAGATGGGTTTTCACAGGAAAAACCGTCGCGTAAAAGACACGAATAGTGGCAAACCTGTTCCCGAGGAACTCCTCACTGCAAAACATGCAGACGCCACGGAAACTGTCATCGCTTCGCTCCCGCTGCTGCTGCTCCAGGATCCCCTTCTGTGGAGGAGAAAGAGCGTCGGAAGGGCCTGTGATAAATGCAGGCAGCCAGAGACCGAGTCTGGGCTGCCTGGGAGGGACCCGGGGTCGGAGCCCAAAGCGGGCACCGTACAGGGGCGCCGAGGAGACTTCGAGTTCCCCCAAGCCCCCTGCACTGGAATCCCGAGTCTGTCCTGGTAAGTGCCCGCGAGGCCCCTTCGGGACACGGCGCAGGGAATGGAGAGCGGGCAGCACCCACCACGCCTCCCATGCTCGCTTCTTCTGTCTTTGTCAGGCACCTCGTGTCCTCGTTCTCATTCAAAACCCAAAGTGTGGTTGGGTCTTTGCCGCGTTCCCTTCTGTAATTCTCCATGTACTTTGTAATCAAGTTCTGATCTATTTATCACTTGAACTAACTTTCTTATTCCTTCTCTCCCCCTTTGCCAATGATGTCACTGATCCCCCTTCCCATCAGTCACTATGGGATGTGTCTCCAGCGGCCTCCCACCTTCTCCCTCCGCTCCACCAGGCCGTCTTCTCTCTGGCTGCTAGAAGCACTTTTCTTAACCACTGTCTACACGCAGAGCTGGCTACCTGGTTATTCTCTGAGATAATTTTTTACAATTTTTTTAAAATTTATTTTTTTTGAATTGTTTATGCTGTTACAGTTGTTCTATTCCCCCCCTTCATTCCCCTCCACCCTGCCCCCCAACCCCACCATTACCCCCCCCTTTAGCTTATGTCCATGTGTCTCAAGTCCTTTAGGTTCTATATTTCCCATACTATTCTTGCCCCCCCCATCTATTTTCTATCTACTGTCTATGCTACTTGTTTTCTGTACCTTCTCTCCCCCGTCTCCTCCTCCCACTCCCCTGTTGCTACCCCTCCTTGAGATCTTCATTTCTATGTTTCCACTCCTGATCTAGCTGTCCTTTTAGTTTGCTTTCGTTTTAGGTGTGGTTGTTAATAACTGTGAGTTTGTTGTCCTTTCACTGTTCATGTTTCTTTAACTTCTTTTTCTTAGATAAGTCCCTTTAACATTTCATATAATAAGGGCTTGGTGATGATGAACTCCTTGAATTTGGTCTTATCTGAGAAGCACCTTATCTGTCCTTCCGTTCTAAATGAAAGTTTTGCTGGGTAGAGCAATCTTGGTTGTAGGTCTTTAGATTTCATGACTTGGAATATTTCTTTCCAGCCCCTTCTTGCCTGTAAGGTCTCTTTTGAGAAATCTGCTGACAGCCTGATGGGGACTCCTTTGTAGGTGATTGTCCCCTTAGCTCTTGCTGCTTCCAGGATTCTCTCCTTCGTTTTAATTTTGGCTAATGTAATTATGATATGCCTTGGTGTGTTTCTTCTTGAGTCCAACTTTTTTGGTACTCTCTGGGCTTCTTGGATTTCTTGGAAGTCTGTTTCCTTTGCCAGATTGGGGAAATTTTCTTTTATTATTTGTTCAAATAGTTTTTCCACTGGTGGTTGTGTCTTTCCCCCTTCTGGTACCCCTATAATTCGGATATTGGAGCGTTTATAGATGTCCTGGAGATTCCTAAGCTTCTCCTCATTTTTCTGAATTCTTATATCTTCATTCCTTTCTGATTGATCATTTTTTTCTTCCTTCTGGTTCACTCCATTGATTTGAGTCCCAGTTTTTTTTCATCTCTATGGGTTTCCTGTGGAATTCCATTCATTTCCCTTAATTTAGCCTTCATATGTTTCTCTAATTTGTGGCTATAGTCCACCAGATCTGTGAGGAAGCTGATGACCAGTGTTTTAAACTGTGCGTCTGAGAGATTTGCTATTTCTTCGTCACTTAGATTTATCTCCGGGGCTTTGAGGTCCCCCTGCGACATTTTTGGTCTGTTCTGGCCCTTTAAGTGAGAGAAGCGGCGCCTTGGAGTCCCAGGTCGCTGGGTTGTGACGCTGTATGTGGGGGCATGGTCAGAGCGGGGAAATGGCGCCGCCGCCGCCGCCGCCGCCGCCACCGCCGCCGCCGCCGGTCGGACCACTTACTCCCTCACCCGCGCGCAACCGGGCAACCACAGTCAACTCGCTGCCACCGCCTCCCCACTGACTCCTCTGTAGTCGCTCACCCGGTGGGCCGCTCGGTCGCTCACTAGGTCCAATCCTGGGTTTGGAACCCGTGCGACTGGATTCGCGCGTCTGGATTCCGCGCCCAGGTCGATCGAGCTCTCCTTTGTAACTCCTCACCTGACGCCGGTTTCGCCCCTTACCGGTCAGGCCGAAGAATTTGTTGTTAGCGGACTCTCTGAGATAATTTTAACTATGCTTTGTTAACACCCTGCTCTAACAAGGGTGGCTCTACCTTTCCTTGAGGTCATTTTATTTACCTCTGCCTTTTCACTCTTGCAAATCTGATCTGTTCTTTAAGATCTACCCTGATTCCCGTCACTACTAGGCAGCCATTTCTAGACAATGGTAAACACTTTGGCGCTTCGGCTGGGACACAACTGAGCAGACCAGGTTTGAAACCTGCCTCTCACCTGGACTTGATTCAGTCTCCTCAGCCCTCTGTTCTCTCACTTGCAAGAGGAAAGGAAACTGTTTCATGGCACTGTTTGCAGGGCTGAGTCAGATAACTCGGTGTATAAAGGGCTCTGAGGGGCTGCATCGTGCTGTTATTGGCCAGAGTCCATCCCCTCTGCTTGTCACCCACCGCCCCTTCGGGAGCCACCGCTTGCTTCCTCTTCCAAAAGGGTCGGAAAACTCTTTGAAGCTATAAAAAAGTCTCTCTGCTGGTCTTATGTGACGCTGGCATGCTGTTCCCCAGCTTCTCTCGTAGCATGGGGCTCAAAATAGGAACATCATGAAGTTTACTGCTGATTCTGTTAGTATTTATAGAACTGCACAAAAAACAAACGAGGGTCCAGAAGCTTAATACATTCCATGTGGCCTTTCTGTACATGTACCACCCAAACATCTAGAAATACTAATCCACTGAAGAAAAAATAAGAAGCTACCATAACAAAAATGAATTAATGAACTTCCACTTTCAGCCATAATGGAAGAGCGGATATTGCACTTCTCCGTGAACTACAAAACAAACTGCTCTGTGTACTTGTTGTGTTTCAGACATGGGGTAATGGGGCTGTGATCCTGAGGGCAAAAGAGTAACACGTGCATGGCCCGTCTTCTGCTGGGTGGTGTTTTCCAAATTGCAACATAGAGAAATTGAACCCAAACGCTGGGTAGAGAAGAAAAGATTGGTGTGTAGGACACCGGGCTGGTGGGACTTGTGGGACGAGGGACTAGAGAGCAGAGCTGCACACGTGTGGGGCAGGGGTATGGGAGCCGGGCGGAGCGGCTTCCGAGGGAGATCCCGGACACCGCGGCCCCAGAAGATGCTGCGGCCCCAGCGAGCATGATGGGAAACCCAGCCTGACCCCTCAAATGCACAGCAGATGGGATAAAAGCAGGAGAAATATAAGGGGTAAGGTTCACGTATCAGACAATTTTGATTATTGCTCTTTAAAGACTGAAATAAACAGCAAACGTCAAATGAAAGAGGCACTGGAGAAGGAAAACAACCTTTACAAGCACTCATGGTGTGACTTAAGAAAGAACACACGTTCCAGAGCCCTGCATCCAGGACTCTGTCTGCATCAGTGGCAGCCACCGCTGGGTTCTGGTTCACAGGTTCGAGACCACACAGTCCAGATGGGGTTGGAGAAAGATTTCACTCAACATTTTCTTAGTTTTGACTCAACACAAACAGAGAAGATCCGTGAGTCAAACCAGAGGGACACCAAGCCACCTACAGCCTTCTTTGGCCGAACGTGTTGTACTGGTGCACCTTGAGGGCCTGCGTGCCGTGCTGGGAAGTGAGGGCTGCACCGCAGGCTGCTTCCAGGGTGTGGACCTGGCACAGAGCCATTCTGTCCTATGGTCTGGAGCCCCTGCCCGTGGTGACGCCACGGGCGACTCCCAGCCGCTTCACCCGCACTGCCCACAACCACAGGAAGACACGCGGCCAGAGTCCCAGGTCGGCCCTCATCTCACCAGCTCAGGTACCTCCTTCACTCCTTCATTCTTACCTGCGTGGGTGCTGTCAAGATCTGCTGTTTGCCCCTGTGCAAACTCTGTTTAAACTCTTCCCTAGACCCTCCTTCGGGGAATGGGGGCCACCGAGACCACATTTTGTTTTCTGTTCATTTCATGGGCATAAGACTTTTTCCACTTTAATGCCACCAGTGCACGGAAGAGCCCTGTGGCCGGGGAGAAGGGACCTGGTGGCCAGGGAGCTCTGCTTCAGCTGCATTCTCCACCCAGCTGCTGGGCTCCAACTGCACCCCGGGCACACCTGACTTGTGGCTGCAACGATGCGAGGAGCGCTCTGCCCATTCCTTCCTGGCCATCTTCCTAATGTTTCCCCGTGGACCTATTCTAGTCCTGCTAGCTACACTAGTCGGCTCCAGTAAGATCTTTCTGACCAACACTGCTCAGCACCGGCCTTTTAGAATTGGAGAGTGACCAGGGACCTTGTGAAACCATTTATGATTCTCCATAAAGAGATCTCGGGATGACTGTGTAAAGCCACATAGCTACTTGGTGCCAAAGATGGTGTTATTGTCAGGCACCACATTGCTTTATTTTCCCCAGAAGTTACCCACTGGAGCATGCGCAGGCACGTAACATACAACCCTGACTGTTCTGTTTAGTGGACAAATGAGTTCGGAATCCAAGGCATGGAGAGCTGGGGAGGCAGGCAGCGTTGAGTCCTTCCTACAAGAAAAGTTTCATTTGGGTGGGTCTGATAAGGACTAGCTTCTTGGCATTGAAGGCTGCACAACATACTAAGGTAATGGGAGAGACAACATACACAGTTACAATTATGCCTGTTTCTGGCTTAATTAGAACAAGGTGTTTGGGATGAGCAGCTTTTCTAGGGTGCAGAAATTGTAATTGAGTGGTTCAGGGGTTAATAATGTTGCACAGGACGGTCTCCAAGGGACCGCCCACGTTGTCTCGGCTCTCCAACCCCAGGTGCAGTGTACCTGCTCGTG